GCCGCGGGCAAGCTTCCTGGGAGCCTTCTGCTCAGCCGGAGTCCCTCCCACCAGCTGAAACTGGGGTCCCCTCATGGAGCATAGGGAGGAGGAACGTGCCCCATCTGTGAGCTCCTACCCTTGGGGAGCAGGGTAAGAGGTAGTTGAATGCAGACTTGTGAGACAGATCCTTTTTTTTGGTCACCTCTTAGAATATGTAGCAAACAAGCCTGGCGTGGTGGCTCAATCCTGTAATCCTAGCACTTTGGGAGGCTGAGGCAGGAGAATTGCTTCGGCCCAGAAATTTGAGACCAGCCTAGGCAGCATGGCAAGACCTCGTCTCTACAAAAATGAAAAAATTAGCCAGGCAGGGTGGTGCACGCTTGTAGTCCCAGCTGCTCAGGAGGCTGAGGTAGAGGATTGCCTGAGCCCAAGAGGTCGAGGCTGTGGTGAGCCATGATCGTGCAGATAGACTCCAGCCTGGGTGACAGAGTGAGACTGAAAAAAAAAAAAAAGAATATGATGTAGCAAACAAGAGGCAGATTCTAATCTCAGCTCTGCCACTTGCCAGCTGATGACTTTAGGGAAGATGCTTAATCTCTCTTGTCACTTCCTCATCTATAAAGTGGAGGCAATAAAATTTGTTCTCCTAAAGTTATTGAAAGGATAAATGATGTAAGTCATAAATGTTTGGAGCAACGTGTCTGCTAGATAATTCCAGCACTTAGTAGATGTAAGCATTACTTCCTTATTTGTTTATTTGCCTTATTTCTCAAGTGTTGTTGGTTAACCTGTTAATTAAAAACAGGCAGCATACATATCAAAAAGTTAACAGTGGTTATATTTGGATGATGGGGTTACAGGTGATTTTGCTATCTTATATTTGCTTATTTATATTTTCTAAATTGTCTGTAGTAAATATATTTTTGGTGGTTTGTTTTGTTTTGTTTTGTTGAGTCAGAGTCTCACTCTGCCACCCAAGCTGGAGTGCAGTGCAGTGGCACAATCATAGCTCACCACAGCCTCAAACTCCTAGATTCGGGGGATCTTTCCACCTCAGCCTCCCGAGTAGCTGGGACTACATGCGTGTACCACCACTCCTAACTAATTTTTTACTTTTTTTGTAGAGAAGAGATCTCCCTATGTTGCCAAGGCTGGCCTCGAACTTTTGGGCTCAAGCAATCCTCCTGCCTCAGCCTCCCAAAGTGCTGGAATTACAGGCATGAGTCACGATGTCCAGCTGTATTTATTTTTATTTACTTTTTTGAGCCAGAGTCTCACTCTGCTGTTCAGGCTAGAGTGCAGTGGCATGATCACAGCTACCACAGCCTGGACCGGCGGGGCTCAGGTGATCCTTCCTCCTCAGCCTTCCAAGTAGCTGGGACTATAGGCGGGTGCCACCATGCCTTGCTAATTTTTTTGATTTTTTGTAAAAACAAGGTCTCGCCATGTTGCCCAGGGGGTCGAGATCAACCTGAGCTCAGGCAGTCCTCTTGCCTCCGTCTCCCAAAGTGCTGGGATTACAGGCGTGTGTCATCGTGCCCAGCCTCCAGCTATATTTTTTAAGTAAAACAGACTCCCACTGAGGACCTATGGGGTGCAGTGGACTAGGTGTGAGTTTGCACAAAGTGAAGAAGACACGACCATTGTCCTTAGTGGCGGTTAAAGTCTATGGACGGAGACAAGACAGGGACACAAACGAGGCAAGAGGTTGGGCAGTAAAGTTCAGAGTAGGCTGAGCATGGGACCGGTTCTCCTCAAGTGGCACCTGGCAGTACAGAGATGTTTTCACCAGCCTTGCCCCAGTAGTCTGTGTACTACTGGTCCTTTCATCAGATTGTCAGGCTGCACATCAAGTGGCATGAAGAAGTAATTGCCCGTTTCTCTCTCTCTCCTTCCGTAGCATTATCAGCATCATCTTTATTCTGGCTGGAGCAATCGCACTCATCATTGGCTTTGGCATTTCAGGTAGGTGATTTCTTGCATTACACGCTCCATTCACTCCTCATCGTTAAACCCCTGATCGCTCAGTGTGGTCACTTGGAAAGAGCACAGGGTGGACCCAGAAGACTTCGGAGTAGAGCTCTCGTTCTTCTGCTTATTGTATCATCTTCACACTCGTTGTTTAATTCCTTGGGCCTCAGGGGACAGGAGGAATATGCCCACATCACCAGTGAGTCGAGAGAATCAAATAAGGTGTTTACCAGTAGTCTATCTGACGGTCCAAGATGCCGAAGATGTCATCCTGGGATCCCAGGGAGAGTGCTCGTCCGAGCCATTCTGTCAGCGGTCGACCTGGGTGGATGGTTTCTTTTCGATGAAGCTTCAGCTGAAGTGATAAAGGATACCAAGTCTTATTGCCGGGCTCGGTGGCTCAGCCTGTCATCCCGCGCCTTTGGGAGGCTGGGGTGAGTGGATGGCCTGAGCCCGCGGGCTCGAGACCCGCCTGGGCAGCGAGACCTCATCTCTACAATAAATCAAAAAATCAACTGGGTGTGGTAGCGCGTGCCCGTAATTCCGGCTACTCGGAAGGCTGAGGCGGAAGGATCGCCGGAGCCCAGCGGGTCGAGGCTGCGGTGGTCGGGAGCGGCCACTGCACTCCAGGCTGGGCGACAAAGTGAGACTCCACCTCAAAAAAAAAAAAAGAATACCAAGTCTTTGCACACAGGGGTCTCAGGCTAAGAGGAAACTGGTCGTGACTACCGTACCATGTAGGAAACAGATGCCATCATGGCACGGATGGTTAGTTTCCGAATGTAGCTGACCCATGTCAGTTGCAGAACGAGGCTCCTGTTACTCTTCTGTGTAGGGCGTTTCTCTGAAGCATCTATTATGGGTGCCCCTTTAGTTATGACATTGAGTGTGTTAAGGCCAGCCGCTGTCTTCTCTGAGGCCAATTATCTGCTCTATTTTCCATAAACAACCTGACTCCGGCCAACCTACTTACTTTAACTTAGTCTGTGACGAACTTTAGTTTTTATCATTCCTTTCTGTCACTCTCCTCCAGCGTGGGTGTGCTGGCACTCAGTCATGTCACAAGGCCTAAGCCAAGAAAACTTGCTCTAGGGCTGCTGTCCTAGAAAAGACAGTCACACTCTGCCCCACTTTCTTTAACATCAAAATGTCTTTTGTACATTTTGTACATTTTTCTGTTGGGTAATTTGCCTTTTTCTTCCTGATTTGTAGGTAATTATTTTTTTTTCTTTTTTTTTTGAGTTAGAGTCTCACTCTCGTTGCCCAGGCTAGAGTACAGTGGCACACTCACGACCACCACAGCCTCGACCTACGGGGCTCAGGCGATCCTTCCGCCTCCTCCTTCCAAGTAGCTGGAATGACAGGCATGTGCCACCACACCCAGCTGATTTTTTATTTATTGTAGAGACGAGGTCTCGCCAAGTTGCCCAGGCTGGTCTCGAACCCCTGGGCTCAGGTAATTCTCTCACCCCCACCTCCCAAAGTGCTGGAATTACATGCATGAGCCACTGCACCCAGCTGGGTAATTCTTTACATATACTGGATGCAAATTGGTTATATGGATTACCAAATCTCTTCTACTCTATAACTTGCTTTTCACTCTCTTGATGAATTTCACTCTCTTGATGTCTTTCAATGAGCAGAAGTTCTTCATTTTAACTTTCATTGATCTTTCTTTCATACTTGGAGCTTTTTGTAACCTAAGAAATCTTTGCCCATTTCGAGGTCATGAAGATTTTCTTCCAAGTTATCCTGTAGAAGTCTTATCTTTCACATTTTTATCCTCAAACCATCTAGAATTAATTTTATACACAATGCAAGAGAGGAATCATGAGTCCCTTTTTCCATGTGACTATCCGGTAAACCCAGCACCATTTACTCAACACACCGGCCCTTCCCCATTTCTCTCCAGCGCTATCACTGTCATAAATCGAGTGTCTAAATATACGGGGATCTGTTTCTGGATCCACTAGTCTGTTTCAGTCTAATATTCTTTTATAATCCATTTCCTTTTTGTTTATGTTGTTTTGTTTCTTCTCCTATTAATAATCTTGGTGATAGTCTCTCTCTCATATATGAAAATAGGTTTACAAGTTTATAGGTGTTGTTAGCTTTAAAGTAGTTTTAAAAGAACCAGGCTGAACACAGTGGCTCCTACCTGTAATCGCAGCACTTTGGGAGGCCAAGGTGGGAAGACCACTTGTACCCAGGAGTTCAAGCCCAGCCTGGACAACATAGCAAGCCCTCATCTCTAAAAAAAAAAAAAAATTAGCCAGACATGCTAGTATACACCTGTAGTCCCAATTTCTCTGGAGGCTGAGGCAGAAGGACTGCCTGAGCCCAGGAGACTGAAGCTACAGTGAGCCGTGATCATGCCACTGCACTTCAGCCTGAGAAACAGAGTGGGACTCCCACTCAAAGCAAACAAACAAACAAAAACCCGACTACCATCAATAAAAAGGTTGTCTACCTCCTTCCCATTTCACAGGGTAAAAGCTGCTTATTTTGGATAAAATGGGAGGTTTATTAGTTTAACACTATTTAGTTGGATTTTTTTTCCAATTGCCTCTATTAAAAGGACTATAACCTTTGCCAGAGAGTATCCTGTTATCAAACTTTAAATGAATTCCATAACTACTAGCTGGTTTAACACAAAATACATTGAAATAAGGAAATAACATTAAGCAGAGGATGATAATTATCTTTTGAATCCTTCATGCAACTCACTGTACTAAATAACTTTGCATATATTAGCTAATTTCCTACTCATCAAATAGGGGTAGATAGTATGACTGTGTTCAGGTGAAAAATTTGTGTGAGGTGGAACACCTCTGGCAAACGGGCATGACTGTGCTGCAAACCCTGGTAATTTGCTTCTAGAATCCTCACTCCTACCCACCAATTATAACAATTTACCAAGGATAACATTTACACAGAGTTGTGGCAAAGAAGGGTGTTCTCTGGCTTGCCTTACAGACATGATTCCTGAACCACAGTTGTGTGTGTGTGTGTGTGTGTGTGTGTGTGTGTGTGTCTCGGGGTCTCATTCTGTCACCCAGGCTGGAGTGCAGTTGCATGGTTCCAGCTCACCACAGCCTTGGCCTTCTAGGCTCAGGTGATCCTCCAACCTCAGCCTCCTGAGTAGCTGAGATGACAGGTATATGCTGTCACACCCGGCTAATTTTTTTTACAGAATAGGGCTCACCAAGTTGCCTAGGCTAGTCTCGAACTTCTAGACTCAAGTCATTCTCCTGCCTCAGCCACCCAAAGTACTGGGATTAGAGGCATGAACCACCATGTCTAGCCAAGACCACAGCTTTTAAAGACATGAAAATATTCCAAATACAGAAAGCAATTCTATTTCTTTGTAGCTTTCCTGAGCTGTGCATGCCACCTTCTCATAGCCTTCCTACTCCTTACAAATTCTGAACTTGAACTTCATAAACTATAACATGCATTTGAGGTGGATCGTTTGAAGGCCTCCCATCAATGCCTGGTTAAAGGACAGCCTTTGTAGATGAACCATTGAGAAGGAAGGTGATGGAGTAGAAAGACGGCTGGCCATACTTGTCCTGTCCCTGTGCTGTCACTCACACCCTGGGTGACATTGAACAGCTCTGTGTAGTGGAAGAGTTTAAGAATCAGAGATGTTCCAATCTCAGGACTGACACTAACTGCATGTCCTTTGGGAGACAGCTGAACTTTTCAGAATCAGTTTCCTCAGTAGTATAATAGGCAGGGTCTTTGTAAGAATTAAATGAAAGTACTTATAAAGTGCCTGATGCATATGTGTGATAAATAGCTGCCACTGTTATTTATATAGATACCATCCCTGCTATTAATAAAAAGTTGCTATTATTAATGCAAGTCCAGGAAGAAACTGCACAACTTCCTGGTCACACCAGGACAGGCCTCCTTTGCAGTTACAGAGGCCAGGGCAGAAATCCACAGGACACTGCCTTCTAATAATGCTCCATCTTCAGACATTGGATAAGGCAACTAGGTGTGTGTTCATGCTACCAAAACAGGAGAATTGCACAAATTGTTTGGAAAGTATTTGATGTTTCAAAAAAAATTGTAGTCATCTTAGAAAGTAATCAAACAGCTGCTGGCCTTTCTTACACTTATTTTCTGGTTTTGAGTTGTTTTTATTTTTAAGTGAAATGGGGACATATTTTTAGTGGGTTGACTTTCTACATATCTCAATCCAGTCCTGGGTATGAGCAAAATGTGTTAGAAAGTGCACAGGCTTAGTGCCAGACAAGGTCGGTTTGATCCTGGCTCTAGTACCTGCTAGATACAAGGCACTAGGCAAACCATTTAACCTTAGAGAACCTCTTTATCCTCATTCATAAAATGGGTAAAATGGTCATTCTTTCCTCTCACCACTTAAAGTGAATCACTATAAGGAAAGCATTTAGTAAAATATTCCTTTCCTTGCTTTCTGGGGCTCTGATCTGCAATCTTTCCAAATGATTCTAGATAATAATAGTCATCCATATCATATCTACATCAATTTAAGGTTTAGCATGTGGTAAGGCAGGTACTAATATTAAGCACTTTACCTGCATTGTGTCAGTTAGTCCTTTCAGGAACCCTCTTAGGGAACATTCTCATTTTACAGATGAAAAAAAAATTATAAAATAAAGAGTTAGAAAACTTGACCAAGGTTCCTCATCCAAAAAGTGGCAGAGCTTGAACTTGAATTCAGACAACTTGATACCTGTGCCACATTCTCAAACACCATGCTCTGCCCCTTCTTTACATTGTTCCCTTCTCTGACCTGGCCCCGTATCCTCTCTAATTTCTTCTCACTGAAGCAATCGCTACTCCCACCCTCACCATCTCTTTAGCAAGAGTTATACGCACAATGTGATCCCAGGCTCCATTGGCGCGGGGTTAATCCCTGTGTTTCCAATCTAAGCCACGTGATGTGGTACCCATCTAGACAGCTGGGTTTCAGAAGATGCTGATTAACTATCTGCTGAAGACTT